GCGGTAGGGTCGGGGATTATTGCGGAGTAACGTTAGAGTGTTAATACCAATTTTAATCGCTCGTCGTAAAGACGATGCGCGAGTGTAACTATAACGCACGCCGAGCGAAGATTCGCATTTGGTAATAAAGATGCTTTTATTAAATCTGCCCCGGCAACTGCGCGCACTCCCTTTCCGTCTCTCGTTCATCACCCGGCTTTCTTTCACCCCGCTTGTGTTCCGCGTGTTGGTTTATGGCCGAATTCTTTCTGCTTCTTTATGGAGATCGTGACGACTCAAAAGACAGCGATGTCGTCTTCGTTATATTGCTCGTCTCCGTGTTTCAAGAGCGAACCCTGCCGATCGGTCGCGCTTTTATTGGCAGGAAGTAGTTTCGACAACTACCGACTGACAGATTTGATCTCGCTTTAGATTTATTTCGTTCACGTTCAAATTTTGATATCTCTTTGTTTGTCGATGCATGAGATTTGACTTAAAAAAATATTATTCAATACTACGTAATATTTTTCTTTCTCATAAAAATTTTTTCACTTCAACTGCAGTTTGTCAGTTTCTATTTGCAGCGGATAGACAGACCGATATTTTCTCAGTTATCGAACTTTGTTTTTCTTAGTTACCAAACTCGAGAGTCCCGGTGTATATGATTTAGTGTGTGAGGCTAAAAGATTAATTTATTTTCAACAACTTTCAGATTTTGATATAGTATTTCATGAATTTTAAGAAACTCGATTTATTTATATTTTATTCAACACTGCACCCTATAAATGCATCACGACCGATGCCGTTCCCCTAAATATATTCGACGTGGAGTTTACATCTGAAATTAAAGCTGGTTTTATTGCACAATAGAATTCCAGATGTTGCGAACAACGTATATCGATATTTTTATCGACAAATTTCATTTATCGACAATCGTGCGGAAAAAGAGAAAGAGCAATAAATCGTTCCATTTCTCCCTTCGTTGAATAAGCTCCGAGAGGAGCTCGAGGGTGCGCGTCTAATTCCGAAACGCGTTAGATTCTATGGACGTGTAAGCAAAAGCGCGCGCGAGATCGATAAATCGAGAGTCGCTCCAGAGATGGTAAACAAAAGCTGAAAATAAGAAAGGAAGCCCTCGTTAAACCTCATTAAAACCGGGATAGTCGTGCTCGAGGCACCCCTGAATTAATGCGGCGTGCGACGAGGGGCTTGCATTCCCGTAGCGAGAATCGAAAGCTTCGAAAATTCATGACTCGCTTCGAGATACGGTCCTCCAGTCCGTAATGGACATCCATAATGATGACGTGAAATCAAGCACGTTAACGTATGCTTTGATAACTATTAAATACTATTTGAAAAACAAATGACGGGAAGAGATCCTCTAATATTGCACAATTTATTCTATTTATTTTAAAATAAACATTTTATGATCATGATTGAGAGATGATAACAATGTAATTACGGCGCTGACGGTTCAAAAGCCATCAATGAGGATAATTTGAGTTGATTGATCTCGTCAGTGTACATCCCGCGTCGTTAGCTTTCATGATCGAATAAGATTTTCATGATCGGATTAGCCGGCACTCTCCAGGGATATTCCTCAATCTAATCGATAGGCTACTTTTTAATGATCGCCGAGCATAGCTAAGGCGGTATTCTCTTAGTGGATAAGAATGATTGATGTAATGCTTTCATTGATAGCTAACTAATCGGATAGTCACGGCAAATAGCGGGTTTTTTATTTACAAAACCAAAATAAACTGTAAGAGACTAATAAAATATAATATGTTTAGCAAATAAATAAATATAACAGCACTAATAATAAAAGCTGTAATACTATTTAATGCAATCTAATAAATAAAAAAACATATATATATCAGAACAATTCGCATTAAAGTGCACTGATATATATTTGTTTGAGCTTTTTATATTTGAGTTTTAAATCATTGCAATCTATTTTTTATCTACAGAGAAAAAATGTCGATACTTTTATTACCATTTGTCTATCAATAATGCATCTATCGATGCAGCTATTGCTAAAAAGTTAAGTGAATTTCATTAAGTGCGTGTTGTTGCGGTCTTCAATGCTATCAAAGTTAAAAGTAAAGTAAAAAGTCGATGCTTTCTAATATCCGCGCATTAGTGACCTTAATCGAAAGATTCGCTACGTGCGCCGATAGCGTACGACTAGTCGCCCGAGGGAACCAGTTTGTCGGAAATGAAATATCTGGATAGAAAATCGTGCTCGACCGTAAAAGATCGACGGCCCTTCCTCATTTAAGATTGTAGGGTCACGTTGTCGCTACCTATACCGTGGCGGTACGCTCACGCGTAGCTATTACCGCTGGGGCTTCTCCGATCTCGCTCACGGCGGCTCGCCCGATCGAAGGGGATTATTCGCCTATTATGGATTCGTGACTATCGACGGCTGGCCTGAGCGCCGATGAAACATTCTTCAAATTTACGCCGAAACCGTATCCGTTTTTGACACGACCATTATCGTGAATCTTAACCATATAATTAACTCGCTCCATTAAAGCGTGATCGGTTAGCAGTATCTCATCTCTTTTTATCACCGCGGTGAGAACGATTCTTCGATCGCAATGTGTTCTATCAACTTGGTAAATGTTCAAGTTAAACAGTGAAATTAAAATCAAATAGAAATATATTTTAATTTTATTAAACAAAAATGTAGACGTCTGATTTTTGTATCACATTTGATATTGAATGAAATTTTCGAATATAAAAACTTTTACATATGTATATTTGAAATTATGGTACACAGTAATCACGTAATTTCTGGAGCGAGAACAACGGAATTTGAACGGAAATTTGCATAAAATTTGAAGAGGGGAGCAAAACTATCAAAGTTTATCAACAATTATGCGTTCAATCTCTTCAATTTGGTATTAAACGCTCACTGATAATAGGAATTAATGCGACGGCATCGCGTTTCTCCTTTATGAACAGAGCAAATCGCCATCTTATTTTCTTCCTTGAAAGAACGCCAATTGAGCTAAAGTAAATATTCCGGCATCACGGCACGGTAGCAAAGGTTTCTGTGTCCTTGAACACGCTGTTGAGTGGCGTTTAACATAACTCGCTACTTATGTACCACTTTGGATCCGCGCGAGTATCCCGCGGGATGCTATTGCCGGAACGCTCAAATAATCACGAGGAAAGCCAGCGTTAGACATCGTATTCCCCGCGGACGGATTCTCTTTCTCGCGTGATGCATCCTCGCTCCCTCGGTCGTGTATTACACGCCGTTACGCCGCAACGCGACCGTGTATTTTTATTGCACGTGTCAATAAAAATAATTGACCGCCCAGAACTCGCGTAGGATATTTGTCTGCAGCGGAAAACGCATTTGTTTGGCCGCGATAGTGAACTGCGAAGTGTTCGGATAGAGAAAGATAGCGAGTAGTCGAGTTTACCTTCGTCTCCCGGAGGAAATTACCGTAGATAGAGATGATGTTTATAGAATGCAGCCCCCAATCGCATGCGCACGCGATTGCACGCTAATGATATTATAAATCTGAATGAATCGCTTCTTAATTTTGGGAATAAGTCAGTCGTACCAGTATATTTCGCAGTTTCCACTAATGCGACTTAACTTTCAGACTTTCTTTTTAACGCTCACTATATTGCCTGACACCGTGGAAAGGATTCTATGGCGAAAGTTCCAAAAGTAAAGTTTATGTGAAAAAAACAAGTTAAAATTTGATTCTAATGACTTTCGTATACACACCGAAATGGGTTCTTATTTTTTCAATCATTAAAAAGATTCAACCAACATTCGTCTCAGAAACTAGCTCTTTAATATACCTGCTGTGTAGAAATTTCTCTTCATATTGTTCAGTCAATCCTCTTTGTACTTTTTTGTTAGATGTTTTAGGAAAAGGTTTCTTTTAACTTCCAAAACAGGTGCCAAGAGTATTAAACTGTTGGATGACGATGCGATTTTCTTTACTTTATTGAGAAAACAAACAATTAAGGAAATGAGAAAGGAAATTTTTTAGTACTTTTCAAACAGTCCCGACGCCTCCGATTTTCGATTCTAGAAAGTTGATGGTATACCTTTTTCGGCAAAACGGCTTTTATCTGACAAAGAAGTGGAAAATCGTACCATAAACTCGTTAGACACGTAATTTTAGTACATTTTGACACTAATATCATGCTGGGGACAAACTTGGTTTGGAATATTATGTGAAAAGATAAATAAGAAACAAGTTTTTCTGTATACGAAAGGAAACTTTTTCATATATTTTCGAAATGGAGCAAGATATGATATATTTATGAGAATAATCTTCTATCGTGCTTAAGATTATCACAATTTTTAAAATCATATTTATTTTCTAGTATATTCATATTACCATACTTTCACTGTGCCAATTAATATTTTTATCTTTACGTTATTTATATTTTTGTACTCTCATAAAATAATCAAAAGGAAATGAATATAAATCACTCGAAGATTACGAGCATGCTAAGAATCATAGCTAGAAATCACCGTGATTAGACCGTTTATCGGTGCTCTTCCTTTTTGTAATAAGAAATCAAAGCACCGACAGACATTCTCAGCACAATAAAAATATCAAAAATTTAAGACTATAGGAATATATATAACGATTGACAAATTTAGCTAAATGTACAATCACACAATTATAGCTATAAACCAAAATATTATGTTCTTGCCGAATGGCATAAAATTCAAAAGACAACATTTCAAAATCAGCAGAATAATTAGAACAATTAAAACAACTTTAAAAAATCTTTCTATCTTTTAAGCTTATATTTTTTATTTAGTGCTGAATCTATCAAATCTCACGCGCAATAAACTTAAACGAAACTTCGTGCAAAATTAATCATACTTGGAATTAGACGTCCACGTTCGACTTTTAACGACAAACGTGATTTAAGTATTAGTGATAGCATGAGCATTAGACTTGTATGTTTTTTGTCCCAATTTTTTTCTTACAACTATGAAATTTATTTAAAACAATGCAAATTCGACTCACCACCAGTTGGCTTGCGCGCCGCTTTGCCACGCGACGATCAGCAAAGACACGAGCAGATAGCTCATTGACATGACGAGCGTGCGTTGCGTGCGGCGATCCCGTGGACTCTTTAACCAACCGCCGAATCCCGAAGTCAAAATCTACTTGTGGAAGCGCGAAGGAGAGGAGATTATACGTGGCGCGTTCGTGCTCCTTTCTCAGCCTCGCATTCTTTACACGCGTCGCCGATGATGATCCGAGTCTCGCATTGTCTTTCTCGTGAACGCGAACAATATCGACGTACTGTCGACGTACGCGGAGATCCGCGACGGAATGACGACAGATCGAGAAAGCGTGGCCGGGATCAAACGATCTCAGAGCGCGCGCGGACCGGACCAACACCCGCCGCGGTACTCGCACCTCTTCCTTTCTCGCGGTCCTCGTCCCGCGATGCTACTGCTGCTGCTGCTGCTGCTGCTGCTCGAAAGGGACGAAAAGTTCTCCAACTTCGTTCCCTCGTCTCGTCTTACATGTTTTCAGCGACGCGCGACCGATTGGAGTGCCGCGACGCGTCACGATGCGAAGCGAAGCGGCGCGCGTCCGGACGTCAGTCAACACGCGCGGACGGTCTATCAACGGTAAATCGCGACCGCTCACCGCGGTTCTCACGGTCTTTCGTTCCGAAAAATCGTGCCGATCGGTCTGGATGCAAGTCCCGAACGAGATTGAAGAGGAACGAAAAGAACGGACCCCCCCGAGTGTTTGAATGGCCAACTTTTGCGTTGCGAAAAATCGCGAGACGGGAAGTCGTCGTGCAAAGACGCCGATATGACGGGCAAGACGACGCTCCGTGAACGTTCGCGTACGGACTGTGGTCGGTAGAATCACGAGGAAAAGGGCAACGGGCCCTCCACTCTCATGATGGGCGGAGTCGCTGCTCGTTTGCGACTCACCGATTGGCCGGTGCAAGCGCGTACGTTCGCTCGCTTGCGATTCGTTCCCTCAACTTGTTCTCCGAACACGACTTACGTGAGATGCAAAGTAAAGGGTTCACGGTTTACCTCGCCGCGCCATGACGTACCCTTTGTCGCTGGACTGGAATTTTGGAGTAAAGTCGGATATTTCAAAGATTTTCGTATCCATTTCTATCATTTCTTTAAATATCGGTATGTGGACACACAATAACAAACCTTATTAAAAAGTATCTAGCTTAAATAGAATTGGTAAAGTAACGAAAGATTATTGCAGAAATTAATTAAAAATAAATATAATCCTATCATTCTTGAGATTATTACAATCATAAATATAATCTGATAAAAGCAGAAGCTTTAAAAATTTAGCAATTAGCAATGCATTTCAGACAGAATGCTAAATAGTCTATGACTTTCTTTAGATGAGTGATTATTGCGATGTAAAAGTTTTAATTGCAAGCAATTTAATATTTCTAATTATCTATGAAAGAAGTAGACCGGACAAATTGCTATTGTTACGTTATCAGAGATATTTCAATCTCTATATTCTTACTTATTTTGCTACGTAAAAGCGACATACACAATGTCATATAAATTTGTTCAAACGGCGGAAAAGATGTTAAAAATTTGCCGATACTTCATCTTCCTATCGCTCAAATTATTCTTTGCGGATTTAAACAATTCCCAGTTTGTAGAAATAAGTTGAATAAAATATTTGTATATCTATACTTGTGAAAACACCTAGAAAAGGATTTTCATATCATAACTTTAAAATTATATTTTTGTATTCAAAGTCATGTAGAATATATCACATACATTTTATCATTGAAATATTTTGCGAAAGATGCGCTATAGAGAGCGCATTAATATCATTTGCATCGTTCCTTATTATGATAATGGAATAAGAGACTTTTCCTTGAAAAGGATTGTTTCGTTACTCTGTCTTACAGTCACGAATAGGATTGTTTAATCAATAACAATGTGTTATCATTCGAATCTACTTTATTTCAATATATTTCGTTTTTTTCGTATAAATATAAACATTTCAGAAAGTTTTTGAACTCAGAAACATTTATTTAAAGAAATTTGAAAAAAATTATATGTGTTTCAAGTGATAAAATTCACTACCTGTAACATACGATTACTGTAACTCTCGTGATCGATTCAAATCAATGTCGTTATTCTGAAATGCGTATAAACGAATCTGTTTTTTTATATGCGTTAAGTAGATTTCAAAAATTTTTGATCACGATTTTATATAACGTACATTAATAATAGTATTACGAGATTAAAATTGCTAATTTTTGTATTACTAAAATAAAAATATATTTAATTGTATTTTCGTTTCTATGTCGTTTCAATCAAATTGGATTTTACTAACATTATTTTGCTCTCAGTATCTTTGCTGCAATATTATAAATTATATTATAAAATAAGTAATGTAATAGCACGTTCATATTGTTGCAAAATAATCACGATAATTAGCGAAAAACATCGATATTTACTATTTTTTATATAAAGCACGGTAATATTTACTTTTTCATTGGAGATAATTACAACTCACTAATTCGTTATAGATATAAACGTGGAAAAGATATTAAAAATATTTTTAAAAGGCTTGTTTGTGTTTTCTCAGTAAAAAAATAATATAAAAATCTCTTATACTGAATGTTCTACAAACTGTCTGATAAAATAATATTCGTAATAATATGTACTCGTAAAATACAAACAAACAATCTTCCAGGTCATAAACTGAATCGATTCATTCTACAAAAAATAATCTAACAAAATAAAATAAATAAATGCAAAAATCATGAATACTATAGATAAATCTTGTTTCAAAAACTCATATAATTTAAAATCTAGTTTAGATTTTACATATAAAAGTTTTTATGCTTTCCTGTAAATTAATAACTCCATATATGCAAATACGCATGTATGGATTATTGCGATTATTTGTACAATAATTATATTCGCATATGACTATACTTTGTCATATTTATTGGCAATATATAAATTATAATATTAGCAAATGATGATATAGAAATAATGGGATTACTTTTGTGACGTTTATTATTAATATTTACCTCTAATGCCAAATTTTTTGGCATAATTTTTAGCATAATAAAAAAAATTTGTTTTTACATATTATCTTTTTGCACCTTATTAATACAAATAGGATCAACTCTGCCATCTGCGGGTTTAATGATAAGGTTTGAATATAAGCAACGATTGATAAAATTCGGAAATTATACAATATGTAATGCAATATTTATATTTTATTAATATTCATAAAGATGCATAGAGACAGTAATGATAATTGCAAATTAAGCAGTTAGATAATTGCAAATTAAGAAGAATTATAAATTATAAATAAATTGTAAATTTTGCTAATTAATGTATTCTTAAAGGAAAGATAATATATAAAAAGGAAGTAATGCTTATGTCTCATACATAGTAACATAAAAGAAAACAACTTATATGTAAAACTTTATTTTCTTCCTTGTAGAATTATATATTTTTATGTAATACATATTTACATATTATAGATTGTTCCTTTTTATTTCTGATATTGAGGGTGCATTTATTATCATTTAATTTTTTGACATCATCGTTGTTAATTTTGCATTGTGCTCAACATAATAAATACATTTTTATTAAGAAAGACAATATTTCTGGTCGCAAAGGAATGTAAATCATTTCAAATTTTACGATATAAAATTTATTTTAATTGATATATAATAACATTATTTTAGACCACATATTTAGTTTAATGTGCCAGAAAATTATCTCGAATATTAGAAGTACTTTGGTTATCACTTGACAAGCTCCGGACTGACATATTTTATGTGATAAACAAAAGTAATAATCCTTTAATTAATGACTTGTTAAATTAATATTTAATATTATTAAACACACAATTGAGACAACCAGAGATATTATCACATTTGTTTAAAAATAATTCATGTGGTCATACAGTTGTGAATTCTGTCTGTCGTTGCGAAGGATTATGATACAAGCCAGCCATCGCTTCCTGCAATGCTCGTAGACATGCTACATGTGCCTTGAATCCTCCCGCTCTTTCAGCCTGAGACTCGTTACGTATATGTGAAACATATCCACGAGATTGAAGTTCTCGCCAGCCAGGCGGTGTTGGTCCTTCTATTTGTTGCCAAATAGGCGTATAAGAATAGAGAGGACCTTCTTCTATCTTTGGCATTGGTAAATAGTTCTGATTTCCCTGATTACCAAATTTAATACCCGTGCTAAACTGAGTAACTCTAGCAGCAGGAAGAGAGGCTTTTACTTCTTTCTTCTGCATCTGTATTGCAGAAGCGAATGATTCCACAATATTCTTAGCATTCGCGTCCGAGAATGTTAGCTCGTCTATCAATGCTTCTTTCTCACGAATTTTCTTCTTCTTTGCTTCTGCGTCTTCTCTTACAAGTTCTATTCTCCTTTCTTCCTCCTTTTGCCTCTCTAATTCTATCATCTCCTCTAATTCATACTCACTTCTGCCAAGTTTAGATTTACTTTTCGCTATTTGCTCTTTGTTATCCCTTTTGTATTGCTCTATCCTTTTGTTTGTTTCAACCACATCAATGTTATTTGCCAAATTATATATTATAGTCTCGATTTCCTCTAAGTAATCATTGTATTCTCTTAATGTAGCAAAATCTTCTTCTCTTTTATTAAAATCTCGCAGAATACGTTTCCTTATATTCACTTCCTTCTCAACCATAGGATCTTCGAACATCTGAACTCGAAAGTTTGTTCTTCTCAATGGAATTTTGCATTCTGGACAGGATCCAGAGCCTGAAATAATTTAATTATAAGCATTATTAAAATAGCACTATTTATATTATATTGAATAGTAAATGCAAAACAAACCTTTCAAAAAAAGTAAATCTACACAGTTTTCACATAATGTGTGGCCACAAACGTTCACTAGCATTTTCAATGATGGATTTCGATATTTGGTGGTTTTACACCGTGGACACGCTTGATCATCCATCTTCAACAAAAACATAAAATAGAATTGAGCAAAAATAGTGTTTTTAACCTCATTCTGTTTTAAAATAGATTTCACTCAAATCTTAGCTTACGTTGTGCAGAATGATTATTCCTTGCACGTAAATATCAATTGATGTGATCACTTGCTATAGTCAACTGTAACTAACAAAACTTCCTTACATTACGTTCCAATATCATATTTAAATGTTACAAACAATCCATACTACATCGACAGCATAACCTACAATCTAAAGATATTTATTGACATGCTTCGATGTGTCGTGAGTCTCGAATACTGTCGAAATATATCGATAGTGTGTTCGAGAATATTGCTTCGATTTAAATGGAATCACGTTGTATGCTTTTATTTTCATTTATTGATTTTTCCGCATTTGTTGCAGGTTTTTTTGCTTTGCAATAATTATATAAGAAATAAGAGTTAAATTGAGGTTAAACAAACCGTGATATTAATAAATAATGATAACTATTTATATATAGTTTATTAAAAATAGCTAAAATATTACTGAATCAATTGTTCCTAATTAAATTTAATAAATGTGTTTATTAGTAGAACTTTTTTTTATCTTTTTTATTATATTTTTTTTAAGTTAAAAAGAGTACAGTTTTTTCCATTTTTTTCCATTATTTTGAAATAATATATTATTTTGCAGCGTATATTGTCAATGAGATTTGATGAAAATAATTTATTTATAATTGTTATTATATTTATTATTGTACATGACAATGTGTATAAAATTGTAATATCCATTATGAATATAAACATTCCTTTGATTTTATTATATCTAAAAATATTAAAAATTTTGTGTATATCTAATGGGAAAACTTTTACCACACATGGGTTTAAATCTCGTTTTGGAAAGACTAAAATTTGTATTAGAAATTAAATCTATTTTTTAATAAATTTTTTATTTAATTTGTGGGTCCAGCATAATTATTTCTATATTTTTTTGGATGCATTAATGATGCTGTTGATGAGTAAAAAAGGAAAAAAAATTAAAACAGTATGCAGAATTTCCAGCATGAGTTTAATGAATCCCATGTTTCTATAAGCCTGAACAAGCAGTCCGTTTATTTTTCAAACAAAAGTTGCGAAGCTGCAGCTAATCTGTTTCTTTGTTCTTTGCTTTGCATTTACTGCATGTTTTGTTGCAGCTTTTCAATTGTTAAACATCGTTGCTCTAGATGTATTGTAAAAAAAAACACACATAATAACGGGAAGAAAGAAAGCATCAAATATGTTATCAATCAATCTATCACGATCTACTAACAATGCGAATGCCTTACAAAACCGCAATTTTCTTTAAAATTCTGTAAATCTCTAGCACAGTATATTTATTAAGCCATTTCTTTATTTATTAAATTTATTAATTGATTTAATTTTATTACGATCTTGCACGATATTAATTGATTTAATTTTATTACGATTTTGCACGATATTAATTTATTTAATTTTATTACGATCTTGCACGATATAAAGCAAACTAACAAAAAATCATAGTATAAAGCAGTGATCAAATGCAAAAAGAAAAAACGATTTAGCTTCTAAGCCGATTACTGATCAAAGAGCGGAATATTACAACGATGCAACGCGGTTGATACAATAGGGATGAATCTCTGTGCAAACAACGCTATGAAATTTATGGCAAAAATACGAGACGTTCCATAAACTCGGAAAAAGTGAAAGCAAAACGAACACGCGCAAAACGTGGCCAAGTGGTGCATCGACCAAATGTAGAATTTTTTCGATATTGCGAGGTTTTCAAAGCTGTCGATTGTTTTTAATCATCATGGAAAACAAAGTGTTATCGAATATTCCACTTTTTTATGCGCTATAGATGTATGCACTTAATGATGTATAATATATTGTGAATTGTCGCTACTTGTAATGTTTCAAATAAGATGGAGAGATATTAATGTAGCACAGACTGCTAAATACATATAATATCTGTCACATTTATTACAATTTGTGTTGAAAGGGATAATACTGGAGAAGTATTTCTAAGATTTCCATAAATCATTTTCTTTACAACGAATTTACTTCGATATTAGACGAAAAAGCTGACGCAACTCTAATAAAGAAAATTTAAAATTGAATTATAATAAAAAATAGAGAGAAATATGATAACATTCATAAAAACTGTATAAATTTAAAAAATTTTATTTTTACTTCAACATAATTTTTTTGAAAATATAAAAAAAGAAGAGAAAGCTACATGCAAGCATTAAAACAGTTTTAAACGACCAAAATATTATATTACAATAAAATTTTTCAATATTCTATATGGATTCTCGATATTTTTAATATTATAAAAATTTCAATCGCTTTTTTTCGAGATGAAAATCATCATTCCTGACAAACTTAAAAAGCCATGAAAAATTTTATCGCACAACATAAATATTTAAACTGTTCAAACTAATGCAGCGCTTAAACATATATGTGACGTCGCTCTTTTACTATTTATGAAACAGAACTCTGACAATAAACAGCGAGATGTACACAAATAAATATAACTTTCGTACATTTCGAGAAATTCAAACTGACTGACATTCTAAACTTTGCAAAAAGTGGCGGCAAATCTGGACGAAGAAAAAAAACAGAGGTGGGTCTTATAGGATCCACTGCCAAGTTTAATCGGCGCCGTGGTATCTCGGGGCGGTATTCGATTCCCGGATTCCCAGTTAGAGATCCTGGGTGTATGCGTGTGTGCATGCGTGTGTGTATATTTGTGTGCGAAGGGATCGAGAACAGAGAAAGAGAATGAGAGATGAGAAGGAGAGAGAGCGTGCGCGAGGGCGACGATAAAACGAAGAGGGATACACGCTTGCGCCAGGAATATCACCCTCATCTCTTCGTACAGTGCACCCTGTGAGGGGACGAGTGTGCGGGGCGTGTGCGAGGATAGATGGCAGGGCGTCTCTCCCGGGTCGCGCAGGGCCGCGCAAAGCCGCGTTGCACGCACTGTCAGTTCTGTTCAGTTTCGCTCGGATATCCGTGCAACGAGTGACCTTTGTGCTGATCAGCTCGTCCGCGCCCGCCGCTCCGAGATCATTCCCCGTCAAAGAGGATCGTCGCGTGTCAATTGTCATCGCGAGACCGGTCGCACGGTCGGCGCCACGACGCGCCGGAGACACGCCTGTCGCTGACAGGAAAAAGGATGCATAGTTCTTATAATATGTGCATTTTTCTCCGGCGAGACCGACCTTTATCCTCCACGTCAATTTCCTATGTTTTTACATCGTAGAGTTGCGAAAGAATTAAATAGAGAGTGCGAGGAACGAGTGAGTTGATTCGAGACTCAGATTTCTATCGCGAGAGATTCGAAGACAATGCTGATTTTCTATTTTGAATGACACAGCGAGCGACGATCAGCGAGTGATCTCGAGGATGCGATAAGATACGAATCGTGGAAGAAGGACAGATAAATATCTGAAGAGATGCACGTATCACGCCTCGTCGGGGCTTTTCAATTACGCGAATCTAGATCGCGAAGCTGTTAGCGAATTAAGCGAGCTTAAGAGCGGGCTATGCGGGCTGAACGCGAGACAGAAAGAGGAAAATAACGATCCTACCGTCGCGATGTGAGAACTTGAGAATCATTGGCATAAATTCACAAAGTCAACGGCATACAGCAGTGCTATGGAGCGTAGAAGCAAGAAAAACTGGAAACTGTCGATTTACTCGATAAATTCGTCTTGATTCTATTTTCCGGCACATTGTGCCAATTTCGCGTTGTGCAAAGAATTTGCAACCTGCGAAAGTTGCTCGTTCTTCAGGATTGATCGAGATCGAGTGCAGTACACGAGGAAGGAATCGACCAGCGTCCCGAAACGACTATGAAAGATAAAAAATGAGGTGTTTAATCTTGACCCTCGGTCTGCTGGTTTCGGGTGAGTCAAACAAATTGCGTTTGGAAATTGTTCAACCAATCGTATCGTCAATCACTTGTGCATTGCTGATACGGATGTCAGGCCAAATCTCTCTCTCTAATGCAAAATTGTAACGGAAATTGAATCCACGTTTAGGAAAATGCGGTCATGAACATTCAACAGTTCCGAACAACGCGCAGAATGAATGCATTAATATAAAATACATTAGGAAATGCAATTAGATAATTTTGTTATAAATACCAATATTATTTTCACATAATTACTATTCATATGTCAATTACGCTTATCATTTTAACATATATAAATTCGATAGATACAGAGATTTGCATGAACACATTGACCCGAAGAATGCGTAAAAAATTCTCTCGGGGATGATAAACTTCAGTTTTGTATTCCTTTCGCACGTGGTTTCGGAACAGTGCCAAAAAATTGAAAAGTTTAAAATTCAAAACACGAATGCCGCTAACTTTATTCCAAAGACGTGCTTTTTAGAATCAGTAATAAAAGAATATTAGAACTGATGCAATTAGTAGTGAATGATGAATGCCTTCTTTAAATCACCCTTTTTGCTTGTAATTATATTTTTATAGCATGTAATTATATTATTTTGAATTGACGGTGTGTCAATTTTTCTTCCCAAAATATATGTTACTTTACAGAATCACAGAAACAAGTATAAGTGGTCACTTACTCGGTAAGTGGCTCTTGACCATTTCACTCGCCGTCGTTGCTTAGAGATATTTCCAGCTGGATTAATGTGAAATGCCGGCAGTAAAAGCAGATTTACGTTTCCGATGAACATACAAGTACTAACTACTTTTTTCCTTTCCAAGCAAATTAATGAATTTAGCATGGACGCAAAGCACGTACGGGTCGAGCGGCGCGTAAACCGTTTCTTTTATGTCGCGATACGCGTTGAATATTTTCCCCTTTCAAGAAGTCACGCGATGTAATATTATGTACCTAGCCGAGTGGAATACAGTATATTACAGTGGGTTTAGTTAGCTCCCGAAGTTAGTCTTAACTTTGTAATAACTTAGTCTTAACATTAGCCTCGTCCGAAATACGGGTTTATACAGCAATTAACCCGAAAGTCCCCTGTACCATGATATAAAGAGACAGGGTGTAATATTGCGCATAATGGCACAGCGCGATCAATCAGAACTACTCAAAATGCAGCTGCAAACTCTTCATATCCGTGTGCTTCGTAAAAAAAATATTCTCGCACATACATGTGTATTTTTCGCATTAAATACTTGCGTCATATTTGATAAATATTTATATTTTTCTGTTTTCTTTTTTGATAAGCATTTCGTAATATCCCAGATTTTTTTATAAATACGAAATATTTATTTTCGAATCCGGTACACTACTTATATATTATTATTTTTGAAAAAGTATTACGTAAAAAGTCAAGCTCGTGCATATTGCAGAAAAAATACAATTTTTTTATATCTAGGTATTTTTACCTAATCTATATTTTCTGCATGATTTTACGGATGCAATAAACGATGCAGAATTTTAATTCTTTTCACTTCACTGCTTTTAATAATTTTTGCTTTTCTCTTTTAACTTGACCTTACTGTTCATCCAACAGTGAGCGAGACCGCCGCTACTATAGAAACCGCTATATTGAATTTTTTTGCACTATGAGAAATTTTATTGACCTGCAAATGCCATTAATCTGATGAATACACTCTCGTAAACATAACTCTTATTTTTTTACGCAATGGTCAATATCACGTAAAAAATAACAATTTTAGATACAAATAAAACATTGTACATTTTATTTGTCCTTTTTTTTATTAACAAATTACTTAATATTTACTGCGTTTTTATAAAAGAATTATAAAATAGAAATTGTGATATCATACGATAATTCTCACGTTTGTAAAAATACACAGAGATTCGCACTGTAAATTAATATTTTTCACATGTAACATTCACGTTACATTGTTTTCAAGTTTTTCAAAGGCTGTTACTATACTTAACTAAATTGAGATCAATATCTCTTAAAATTTTATAAGTGTTCTCATAATATGTCTAGCATTAATAGTTTTCAGTCGTGGTTTAAAATCAAATTAAGATTGAGTTTAAACTGCAAAACTGAATAAGTTAGTTGTCGCCGTTGCGAAATGAGCTGAATTTATACAACAACGTAATAAGAAGCAAGCGAGAGGGGAAATTAAATCCACTGTGCATTGCTGTAAAAGTAACTGTAGAGCACGAAGAAAACAGCCAGGGGGATGGAAATCCTGATATGTATTTTAACGTGGGTTATGCGGGGTGGCGCAAATCCCACGGAAGCGCGGGGAGGTAAATATTTACTCGCACAACTACCTGCATCCCTTTAAAGTTACCCTTTTGGAGCTGCATTTATTTTTAACGCACGATTTTCTGACGACGGTTTTATCGGATTCGGAAACTGTGTCGCCGATATCGCAGACAGAATTTTCCTTTCGCGAGAAAGCGTCGCACGTCCTGTACTCAATACATCTCGTTTGTTAAGAAGTTCTTTCACGTTGTTATACATTTTCGCTATTAATGCTACGAAGAGCGTACTCACCCCTAAGTTGGCGCTTATGTGCAGACGGCTACATATTTACGGAGCATGTACGTCCAACTAAAGTTACGAACTTTCCTATGAACGATGGACAATTCACAATGTTGGAGAACTTGATAAATGGGTAATGGAGAGTTCACGCCGTCAATTTATGATTTCACTATTTTCACAGCTATTTATGAATATAATAGAAGCACGTTATATTATTGCACGGTATATGAAATCGGAATATATTTCTGTCCTGTTTGTTGACAAATGTTAAACATTGCGATTCAACGTTTTGTGCGAAGCACGAGAGCACTTCCTGGCGAAAATAAACATGCGTTTGTTAATATTCATATACGCAAATGATTTTTTTATAAGTATTTTTTAAACTTTTTGTAGATATAGAAAATTTAAAAAAGAGATTCAAAGGGAGAGAAATAAAGGAGAATTTAAGATACGAAACATGTGGCAGAAAACGTAAAAAGAAAGCTTCTTATGGAAATGTAAAATAAATTGAAAGAAGAAAAACGAAATAAAACGGAATTGATTATAAAATACCATGATAAAAGAACGAAAAGTTCTTGAGCTATAACCGGCTGCAAATGAAAGGCATTGCACAAATCAAGCTTTAGGGAGTGCAAATAATTAATATTGGAATATTATTTACCATTCAATTAAAAATGAGTTTTATTTTGAAGCGCATTTTAATTTCAGACTTTGTTGCTAAGATATTGAATATTGAAGTCTACAAAATTATGGCGAATATAATAAATATTTTCCGACTCTTTTCATAAGAAGAAATCAATTTTAAATTTCATGAAAAATAATGCTGCACATTCTATATTAATTCTAAGAGATTCTACAAAGAAATGAAAAATGAAAATAATAAGCGTAAAATTTTTTCTAATGTCTCCTTTTTCAAAGTGACACTACCCGTAGGAAATAAACTTTTGTGATTGTACATTCTCCATCTCAAATTGTTGTTCTCTTTTACCCCTCAAGCAGCACGTCTTCTCATTCTTTTTTTAACTCGCACGTTCTCACAGACTTTAACAGCTTTTCTTTAGTTACAAGAGAGAATTTTTTTAATTCCAAAAAATTTTACTCCGATAATAATGCTAAAAAAATTACAAAGGAGATATTTGATAAAACAATAAGTTTATTTTTTATTTTACTTTAAGACGCTTGCTAACAAACCGCTACGGAAGAAAAAACTTATAATTAAAAATAAATTAAACATCTATTTAGAGGATTAGTTACAATCTTTATAAAAAATTATTCAGTTATATGCAAAGCTGAAATACGACTAATTCGTACATTTGTATAACACGTTTCATTTTATGTTATCACGCAGCGCAAAGAGCACACAACAAGAATTAAAGAACATTGTTAATCCCAAAATAACCCGACTTTTTATGACGCAAACTACTGTACGGGGTGTGCTTTAGAAACTGCATTAATAAATTATTTTTGCTTGTTGTACGCTGCATATAATGACCAAACAACACAAGAGAGTTCAGAAAACGTTTAAAGAATGTCTCAAGAAAAATTAGCATATTTTTTAAATGCTTATCTAGAGAATTATTTTCTTTTTAGTCAGCGCATTAAGGAGAGACCTAATATATTCTGAATTAAAATTAATTCGTCTAATTGACTGGAAAGCAAAACTTTTTATCGATAATTCCCGTGTGTACTCGAGCGGAACGGCGGTAATATCTTCTCGATTCTAGACGGTGTAAATTATATTTCGCGCAATTACTGCTGTATTGGAGAGCTTAAGTAGCGTTTAGCATTGCTAAATGATACTATTGTGTTTATTTTCAAGTGCAAGGACCCACTCGTTGTACGGCCGATGGCAGGATATACGAGGATCACGCATCGGAGGCCTCGCCTGTTCGAGGGCCGTATTTCGACGTCTCGGCCTCTCACAACGTCACAGCTCTCGTTGGCAAAACGGCAACGTTGAATTGTCGTGTACGAAATTTAGGCGATCGCACGGTACGTAAGATATTCTCTCTCTCTCTCTCTCTTGTTTTTATTTGCTATAAGAAATAACTTCTATCGCTGTAATTGTTGGAAGTAACGCAGCGATATACGGTATTTCACGTTTTGCCCAAAAATTATGCACACGGACTGACAATTAAGTTTGCAGATGACATTTATGTAAATTTGGATACTGCGCATTCATCTAAATTAATGTTATCTCCTTCAAAACAGAAGCTATAAAAAGATTAATTACAGACGGAAATTACAACGTAATGGCATATCCCATAATGTCATAATAATAACAACTGGACTGTCATTTTATATGATTAATGTAACTTTATATTTTAACACAATATTATCTCGCATTATTAACCAATAAAGTAACTTAATGCAATTTTAGTAATATTAGAAGTTGGCGAAGAACACAAAATATATGTATATATGTACATGTATACATATATATCGATAAAAAGAGCTTCTTTAAAGTGTATTTTAACTTCTTTAAGAGAGAATTTAAGTGATGAAGTGGTAAAGTTTTTAGAGGAAATATTCTTTTACCAGACTCTGAAATAAGTCCTTCCAATATCGAAGAAATGTTCAATTTTAGTCCGATAATATGCATTACAGCTGTGAGTGCCACTTTCGTCTCCGGTATATCGAAATCGACTGTCAGTGCTAAAAATATTTCTCGGCAGTAATACTCTTGCCGGAAACTTTTACCAGAAATGGATTGACTCAAAGCACAGCAGTCTTAGATAGGATGTTAAAAGCATATATGTCTTGTATACGCAAGCAATTTCTTACGTATGTGTGTTGATTTATGGATGTCAAGAATTCTTATATTTTTCTTTTTCTAGCAGATAAATACGCGACACACACGACGAAACGATTAACGATGTTGCGGCGATGAAATATGCACGTACATTATTTAGAGCATCATGATATATTTATAGAACAAGTTTATGAATGCGCTGTAAAGAAAGAGTCGGGAAAAAGGCGTGACTATCGCGAAACTTGTACGAGCTATGAAACTCGATTAGTCGCAAACTTGACTTCGCGCAGTTTCATACCCCTGTCAGATACACGACATTTTTTGTCACCACATGTATAATAAAGTTGGCTCATCATGAGACACTTATATAAAAAAGTAGAACATCACAGGCAAGGATAAGCAAGACCGCTGCATTTCTTTTTTTTCTTTTCGCGTCCAGCTCGTGCGTCAGTACGCTTGAGAGAAATTTTAACAAAAAAAAAAGAAAAAAAAACGGAGAAAAAACACATACATCCTTTTGCATCTTTCGCGTCTGAGTTTTTGCTCGTCGTGCTCGTCCCTATTTCGTTAACACCGTTTTTTATATTTTCACCGGCACAATCCGTCTCTTTGCTACATCCATGCGTAGGTAGTTGAATTCATTTTTCTCAAAGCAATGTAAATTTTTCACGCCAACGTTACACGATGGCGTTAATTTTAATAAAAAACCTATTGCTTTAAAATAACAAATTTAGTACTAGGGTTATTTTAAAAATATTAGTGTTTGAAATTACTTGTAAAAAAGTAAATATACGTTTTTATGTTTCAACGAATTACAAAGTGCAGTCATACGTATATAGTGGAATTATTTTGTTTATTTATTTATTTATTTTTTTACAAAACAAAGTAATTTTGATGGAAAATTTATAGCAAATAAATTAATACAATTAGTTGCAAAAAATTTCACGTTTAAAATTATTTATGGGTAAAAGAAATATCTTTTTTATATTATTGGTTATAAAATCAAACATGTGTAATTACAACATTTGATTACTCTGCGCGCAAAATTCAGAAGAGTTATAATCTGTAAAAATACACAATATTTTCATACACGATTGTTATGTGCATTACTGTTGTTGTTATTGTGACACTATTATGCGTTGATATATCAGAGAAGCACTTTCGATATTCGATTGCTATTGGAGAATTGTGCATTTACGAACACTGTCATATTGAAAATAAATTCACATATTGACATTTTCAATACGTGAAAATGGAGTTCTGAAAGCTTAAGATTCTTTGCTCGTGTGACTTTTCACGAATAGAAGTCAATTGTATGCCGTAATCACGAAAGGGAAGAGGGAAGAAGAAGTACGAAGAAAGTTCTGATGTTATGATGGCTAGCAAAAGTATTCAAAAATGTAGAAATTTGACATAAGTTGATAAATCGATCTTTTCACTTTATAAGTATATTCCGCTTGCGGAATCTCACAGAGGCGCGCACGAATGTTCCTCCGTACGCGCTGAAAGCGCAGCTACGAGATTTCTAATGTTACTATATAGAAGGTATGTTACTATATATAGGTCGACGAGCATGTAGCATGTTATTGAAGCAGTAAAACGACAAAGGATGCTAAACTATTTTCATTACAATCAGCGCAGATTGAACTATGCAATATAATTACTTCGCTCTATATTCATATCCGAAAGTATTACTACGCTTTGAACATTTTTCTTTCATTTTTACAAAAATAATGTACATTTGAAAAAAAGATTTAAATTTAGTAAATTATTAGCATTATTTGAATTAATATTAATATTACGATTAACAGCATTTTTTATGCTTTTTAACTAAAATAACGTTTTTTAATCGGAAGCTTCTTTACAAGTAAAATTTAGACGCTTATATTTTTATTTTATTCATGAGTCTTTTGCTCTTTAGTAGCTGTCGAAACGCAGCCACAGAATTTTGAAAACTTTTCCGACAATTAATTTGTATTTATCCGCATTGTTGCGATCTAAAAATGTAACGTAATCGAATGGCTTGTTTTCCTTTCAGTAAACGTTCAGTAAAATCGAATATGCGCTTTTCATTAGCACTGGATTTAACTACGCGCTACATGAACAAAAGCTGTGTCACGGTTCTTGTGTGCCTGCACCTCTGTCCCTGTTCATTTGAACCTCGGTACGCCAGGCACGCGTATAAAACTCAATGGAGCCGTTTTTATGGAAGAATACGCATTTTCGTTCTACGTGGTCGGTATTTCAATATCGATCACATTTTTGCGAATATAATATGCTTGAGCGCATCCCGCATTTATGCAAATCAATCGCACCGATCTTTTTCTTTACGGCGAAGAACGTCGAACGCTGTCGAATGTTATCGAAAAATACGTGAAACACACGTCGAAATTGATATGAAAGTAATATGTGAGTGGAAATTCTCGCTTGATAGGTATATGGGGAAAATGAATCCTGTGCTCCATTATCGCGTATATGGAGATCGATTTCACGCATGAAACTTGAACCCACTTAAATTATACCGGCCCGACGATCCCTCGATCGAATTTGTGGAAACTCATTTTGCAAGTTCAGCTGTGCGAGCTGTCCACCGGCGAGCAAGGCGAGCATCTGACAAGAAGGATGCCGCGGTGTTTTTTTCAGGTGTCATGGGTGAGGCACAGGGATATCCATCTTCTCACCGTGGGCGTCGAGACATATACGTCCGACCAGAGATTCGTCGCGTCGCATTTTCCGCACACGGAGGACTGGACGCTACAAGTGAAATACCCTCAACGACGAGATTCTGGCACATACGAGTGTCAAGTGTCTACGACACCGCCCATAGGTCATTCCATGCTCCTCTCTGTCGTCGGTTAGTTCCTTTCTCTCTCTCTCTCTCTCTCTCTCTCTCTCTCTCTCTTTCTCCTCGTCCTGTTTTTCGCTGAACGGGACCGTGCCGTGATTTTCGCCGCGACGCGGAAATTCGCGCTATATCTATTTGCCGTCGGAAGCTTAATGTGCGCCGCACGTGCAACGCGATATCCGCGGCATTTGCTACACCACGACCGCTGATTTACCGTGTGACTTAATCATTCACGTGGAGTTTCTCAATGAAACACGCGATCTAAGTGTTTTACTACTTGCATCCGCAATCTGTTTACGCGTCGCATCAGTGATGTGAACTTAGCCGGAAGAATTAAATTGTTACGGAGAAATATGATTTATAAATTGGAACTTGGGCTCTTAAGTATTTTTATAAAGCTTATTGAAGTTTGCACGCAGCTTGTAAGACGGAATTGCAATTTCCACGAACTTCACGAATTATAAATTTCTGTCATTATGTATGCTCGCTCGTTCTGCGGATGGTAAGTTTAATCAGCTTCGTAACTCTGAACTTAGTATTAACTTAGTATTAAGCTTTTTGTGTGGATGATGTTAATATTAGTCCCCCTCTAAAATACAAGTTTGTAGATAAATTAATCCGACAGCGTGTCAATACCGTGTCGAAGCTGTCTCAGATAAAAATGGATTGTGATAAACGACAAATTGTCGCGACAAATTCTCATTCGTTGATAACAGCAATAATCATGCTAGGCAGAAAAGTAAAACAAAAACAAGTCAATATATTAACAATGTATATAGAACCAATAAATGGAGATTCAGATATCGGAATATAATTTTCCATATTAGAGAGCTATGCATTAATATTAACCCGTGTATATTATTGTTTACCATTAGAAACATCTGAAATTACAATTCTGTTTATTATATATTATCGACATCAATAATATGCATATTTCTAATCATAGTAACAATGTGCAATAAACAAATAAATAGCGTAAATGGTATAATATGATTATGACTCGCTATTGATTATAATTTTCTTATTTATCTTAATTATTATAAATTCTTGCTTGTTAAACGCAACGTTCTTACTTTTTTATCAAATCAAATAATACAGTAAAATAATGTAAAAAATAAAATTGCGAGGGAAAAAAGGAATAGCTTACTCAGAAGAAAATTAATTAACTTGTATGCGAAATATGCAACTTCATAATTTTTATACGTATTTAATTTACATTTAGACGTGTTATTAACTTTTTTAACTTTTGCTGTGTCCGTAATATTTTATTTTATATTGAAATCAACAACCCAGAAAACAATACGTTATATAAAATAATAAATATAATTGAAAAAATCGAATTTTCTATAAAAAATTTCAATAATAGTTTTTTTCTTTATAATTTTTATGAAGCTATCTTTTATTTTTATTAAATAAATCATGGTTTCCATAAATTGTTTCAATTAAAAAGTTGTATAAAAATTTAAAATTTGAATTATTCATTATATTTTCAAATAAACTTAAATAAAAAATATATAAAATCAGAAAGTAGAATCTTTTTCATAAATTAATATTAAAATGATTAGAATCTGAAATAAAGTTAAAGCCGTATAAATATTTTTATCACATGTCTAAAATATTTTTTAGTTTTATGATAAAGCTAAATTAAGACTAAGCTTAGAATTAAGAAGCTGAATAAACTCTTCTTATAATTTGCAAAATTAGAAAATTCCGTAATCTCAATCAATATTCTTTGTAAATTAATAGGTATTAATGATTTCTCGACGAGATATCGGATGAGATTATTTCTTCTTGATAATCGGATCACGATTTTCCAATATTACTTTTGTATTATATATGTCTCGTCACTTTTCTCCGTAGAACCTGTGACGATGGTCGTTGGAGAACCAGAAATGTACATAAACAGGGAGAGCACTATGAATTTGACCTGCGTCGTGCGACACAGCCCCGAACCACCTGCGAACATTCAATGGACTCACAATCATGAGGTATGTTGCACTTTATCTGACAAAAACGTGCACGTAATTCCAAGGGAAAGGAGGAATGTCGGCAAATTAATTTTCAATCGTTATTTCTAAAAATGTCACATAAAAAGCTATAACTCTTAAGTTCGCAATTCTTTTTATTGCCATAATTCTTTATCTTTTCTCATTCAAATTGCGCTCGATCTATTCCGTCTTTCGGTGTGACTTGTTTTAAACAAGTTCTTGAGTTTAAAACTCCGAGTTTGCGGGAAGGAAAACTTTTAATTTTGATATTACCTGTTCAACGTTTCTCCTTGTTGAATTTTTAAATGTACTAACACCGTGGTAACTCGGTCCCATTTCTCAACTTCAAAACCTATCCCTTACCCCCGCTTTTCCTTTCCTATCCTTTCCTTTGCCGCGTAAAGTTTCTCTAGCGTGTGCTTTAACAACCTCGGTCGCATTATACAACATCTATTTCTTCGACCGTGTCTGTCTCGGGCGGGCTTCTACTTAGGTTCTATATTCTTACTTTCGAGCTTTCTCTACGACAGTTCATCGCATTAACTCTCTTGCTGTCCTCGCGGTATCTTCTGTTTCGTAACGCTTCTCGCCAATATTGCGCAGTGCACCCTCGTTCCTCTTTATTACCCATTCGTAGTGTTTCAGTATCACTCTATCGATCTTTAAACTTATTGTTAGCACTAGGAAGTTCTGACATAAACGCGTGCATGCAAGCTGTAACATCTAACTTATGAAGCTTGTTGCGCCAACTCTCTTATCTGATTTTTGATATATCATCCAAGAGTGACTTATTATTTATCATCTGTTTATTTCGCAGTATAAGTAATTTATTTAAACGTGAAATTAATCTTACTATACGCTTAATTATTCATCCTACCATTCCCTGTCTTTTTTCTGACTCTTGCAATTTCTTTCGCTTTTTCTAAAAACCAATTTATTTCCTTTCTTCTTTCGCTGGTTATTTTTTTTCTCCTTCATTTCTTCTTCTCATCGGAGGACCTTTTCGCAATCCGACTATCGCAATCCTCACCTGCGGGTCCAAACCTTTTCCTCTCGTCTGTCACCCTATTTCTTGTTCTATTTTCCGGAATTTGACTTTCTTCCACCAAACCCATCTGTTCTGTAGCTCTCGATCCTGTAAGCTTCCGCGTTTCGTACGCGGAGATTTTCTTCCTCGTACTTGTTTCGTCTCATCATTCGCTTTTTATCCTGTTCCGATGCTATTGCACCCGTAGCTAGCCAATCCTGTCCCGATCTCGAACCCCAAGTGAAAAATTTGACGCGTAGTATTTCTTGTTAGCCCCATATTTTCTGTCTGCCTCGTCGCACATGCATTCCTTCCATCCCAATGACCTAGTTAGCTTTACCATTTGCAGGGAGAATTATGCTTGTTGAGATATGCAACGTATGTAACATAAATATCGGTAAACGCGCAATCATGTTATCATGCCTCGTTGATATAATTGATTTCACTCGCGCATCAGTCAGCGTTTAACTTTATTGCGCGTAACCACACGACGTTTATCATTATCATGTGTCACAATTATATACTAATTACAATACGAAGTTAAATTAAAGTGCGAAAATCAGAAGCATCGAAGCTTTAATGATCGTGTGGAATAATATTATCGCTCGTGAAAACCCCGAAGAATAATACTATTCGAGCACTCGCAGTACCTGAAGCTACCAGAGCAATCGGTATTATCCACGGTGTAATCCGCTTTACATCCTCATTAAGAAGGTTTACGTAAGATCCGCTCTCAATTCAAAAAAAGTTACGCTCGAGAGAAAACTTCGCTTTGAATTATTATTCGACTTTCGAATATCTTCAGATGAATGTTATAATTTTAAATTATTGCGGTCTATCCGACTCTACAAATCTCGATAAAAAGTGTCGCAAGAGTTTTATATCGTGCGAATAAATTAAAGTACATGCCGTGAAAAAGGTTATATCGAATTTATTCTCACGGCACTTTCTACATATAAAAGGACGCTGTATATATTCATTAACAAAAAACTAACTATTGCAGCTGTAAGAGGAGTAAAAAGAGAAAGAATAGCATTCGATTTCGATAAACCCAGATGTAATTGGGTTCCGGAATAATATTTGCATGGCAAAAATAGACTGGAAGATTAAGAAATATGCAAAGGTATTATATCAATGCTTAGAGCTTCTGTCTTGATATTGCGGATTTTCAGAATTTTTGACATTTTGCGGTTCGCCGACGCTCACGTCACCCGTCAGCCCATTGTTACATTGGAATTTGCTGACGGCATGTAGCCGTAGTAACGGCATGTAGTTCTTGATGCATATTGGATCGGCTTACGAAGTGGGAATATATTAATATTATCCGTGAAGCGAAAATTTCCATTATACTTTCGTTTAATGGAAGCTAAATGTCCTACTTTTAAATATTTTTAAAAAATATTTTTTTTGATTACACAAAAAATACGATAAATAAGAAACTATTCAAAAAATGTATCAGTTTAATCAAATATAACGAAAACAGAATGTACGAATAATTGTATTTATTACATATATATTTGCATATGTATCTATCATATTTGCGTCAAGTATGCATCTAACTTTTTAAAATAATAAGTTATTAAAATATATATGATGTCATTAAAACTCAATCACATGCAAAAAACGCTTTTGTAATTGGTTTTCCGTTTTGGTTCGGAAAAACGCAAACGAAATATATCGGATTTGTGTAGCGGAAGAACAAAAATAAAAAAAATGTCTGTTGCTTTCATGCCGACTAAAAGTAAATAAAATATTTTTCATTTTTAGTCTCTCTCGGGTATAGAAAATACACATGCAATCTTTCAGGTTTTTGCATGAAACATACACGACACAGATCCAGACATTTTGATATCTCAGATTGTTTCGTATATTGCGTTTTTCACGAATATAAATACAAAAATTACTCCAATTATACTAGGAAACTGCAAATGGTCCGTGTTTCATATCATGTTATAACATGAAATATAAATAGCTATCGATGAATGAAGGCTTATGATAAATTAATATGTCATCTATGGACGTATAATATTATGGATAGTAACGACATGATTCGATGCAAATTTGTGGAAATGCAGTAAATGGGATTCGATCAGAATTCACTCTTCCCTTTATAAATATTTATTAGTCTTTGTTGCATTTGCGTAATGAGTGTAATATATTCTTGGATAAATTTTAATGATATATTCTTATAAATTAATAACTACATGTTTTCGCAAGTGTTAATACTGCGCGATAATTACAATAAAACTTTTTGCAGATTAATATTATTTAATTCATTAATTATTTATTTGTTAAAATAATTTTCCATTGGAGACATTTATGAATATAGACGACGTTATTAATTAAGGGAAACAAATGTTTTATACCTTTGTGAGTTAAAAGAGTAAAATAATATGAAAACTGTCACAAAGAGAACAGACAACGAGGAAAATAAAAAGTGCTTATTTAAATTGTAATATAATGATTGTATAAACTTAATGAGTAAAATAAACGAAATAAATGTGAACGAAACCAATAAAGAAGAGTTAAAATAAAAGTGGGCGAACAAATAACAAATGACAGGACACAAATAATGAACTTAAATAAATGAAATCAAATGTCGAAGCGTAAAACAACGCGCCGTTCAGAATAAGCTTTATAAAGAAAAGAAAGTGTACACACAAAAAAGATAATTAATATAAAACAGATAAAATATCTCTGGCAGTCGTATTTTTAGATTTATGGTACGTGTTCCGATGGCTCTGAAAGTTTTTGAAATCCATTTTGCAACAGTGACATATGAGCCGTTTATTTTGGAAGTGATATAAGTACAGCTTTGAAACATTATGAGTTTCAGTGAAATGTGTGGATACATCAACTGTTATCTGCTATATTGATTTTACCAAAGTTCTCAAAACTGGATTTCCGTTAGTTTATAAACCAGGAAACGCGACCGAGTCGAGGCAAAAAAGAGTTATACAGTTTTTAATTTGCAAAGGACACTCACAACATATAAATATGTTAATATGCTTTACCGAGAACGCAAAAAATATGTTCATAATTATTTAATTAAATTAATAAAGTAGGGTTTTTCACATTATTAAAGGAAAATGTTAATTATAAATTACAACTTGCGTATACATTTACAATGTTACTCAACTGTTTGTTTTTTTTTATTAAACTATAATAGTTTTACTAAAATTTTTAGATTTAAAATAATAACAAAATTCGTTGAAAATTGAGTTTACATCTCCAATATTCGTACCGGAAACAAGAAAAATCTGGTTATTATGTCAAAATAGTTTTTTTCTAGTTGTCGATCAGTGTCACTGCCGCTCCTTTTTTTTCAACTGAAAATTAATTAATCATTGAATTAAAATTGACCTTTTTGTCGAAACGTTGAACGTTTGATGAACACTATTGTATAAGCATTGTAGGAAGAAATTTAATTAGAATAGCATTTTTCCTGGTTCTGCACGTGACAGGTGATCAATTACGACAGTCCGAGAGGTGGAGTATCGGTTATCACGGAGAAGGGCGAAGTAACGACGTCATACCTTTTAATTCAACGTGCTCAACCGGCGGATAGCGGACAATACACCTGCCATCCCAGCAACGCTAACACAAAGACAGTCTTAGTTCACGTACTTAATGGTATGTACTTCTTAATCTTATAACGCACCTGTTCTTACACTTGTTACAACGTTTGTACAGTGGCTTAATATACCTAAGTATAATCTTTATGTGTTATTCCGCTCCGATTATCCCGTATTGCGAGAAAATAAATATTATCTCGCAAAACTGTGCACTGCATTACAAAAAAAAAAAAAGTATTAATCTTTTGATTTGCAGGGGAACATCCAGCTGCGATGCAGCACGGCGGCCAGCTAAGATTAGCCAATTTACCTTTTGTAATGATCTCGACAACGCTTTTGACCTTCTTGAATCATCCTTACTAAACGGACCATTATAAGTGTTAGTTAAAAATGTTTTTTTTTTTCAGATTTCTTTTCGCACTAATCACCTTGAGAGAAGATAGTGTAACTATCTATCGTTAAACGCTCTATAGAGCTCGTACGACTAGACGATCGATAAAATAAACTGCACAAAAATTTGAGAATCTTTTTACGATAACGTGATTCACACACTTATGATTTATATACCTGTTGTTTGAAGATACGTTATCATTGAACTGTTCGGGAAGTTTTCTAGTTTTCTTCTATGAAAATGTAATTGAAAATCCTAGACGAGAAACTTTCCGAACAAACAAATATTAAAGACTGTTATATCATTCCTTATAATTTATTTTGATAAATTATTATTAAATTAAACGGCTTAATTAATATATTATTCAATTAGACTGTTCTGTAGATCTGTTATCGAATACTTTTTATAGGCCATAAACGTCACTTAAATTATGTTTGAAAAGTCAATAAGAGCGTACCTCGCAAGTCTAGCAAAGAATATAATAAGCAAAAGAAGTCTTACCGCAGAACAAAATGACGTATTGACGTATTGAAAAATATATAAGGACAGAACAGATAACGATCGATCGAAAGAGTGGTGGAACGCTCTTCTGAACAGGAACATGTAAAAAAGCAGCGTTTAATTGAAACGCTGTTCTGGAATTTAAGATGAAGACAGGGTAGCGAAAATCGGATCTATTTGTGAAAATAATTGCCGATTACGTACTTCTCTTCTAATTCAGAAGCTCGCACACTTGAGCAACAGGTAACGTTACATTTGCTTTACTATGATTATAAGACAATACGTTGTGCTTGCCAAAAGAATGTGTACATGTTACTGTTAAAAAAAAAAATAGATTAGATTTTAACATAGAGATATATGTTAAAATCTATCATTATGTTGTGAGGACGCGTATGAGAATATAAATATATAAGATGTAAAGTCGCTAAACAAAAATACTCGATGACGCATGAGAGTGAGCGTGTCTCACTGAAGTATAACTGGAGTCGCTCGCATGAGTAAAAGTTTTTCAAAGACAACTGTTTCTTAACAATTGTCTTTGATGTAAAACGAGGTATTCCGATGAATCAGTTGCTATTGCGAAATTATAAAGAACGCGCTTCAGTGACCGTCGAATACGAATGGTGCGCTACGATCATATTAGAATTCTACTCACTGTTCCTTTGTTCACTAATGACATTTCATTTCATATTGAACAATTTATTTAATAGAGAAAATTTATATTGTTCCAACGACTGTTATAGAGCTGTAATATGGAGATGATAATTATAATATAGAAGATTATAATTACAATTTAATGTCTATTGTAATTATAATTATAACATTCGAGATTATAATTATCGAAGAAAGTTTGCTCCTACTTGCTGTTTGATGTATGATACTGTATGCTGTATGAACGACGTGTAATATGTCTTCATTTTACAATGAGATATGTTATAATTAATACATATATTATATAAAGAAATTAATCATAACGCCTGGACCTAATAATTATTTAAGAAGAGAAACAGCTTGATTTAATGCTAGATACACATTACGGACTTTATTGTTTAATAAGTTAAATAGTTGATTTGAGTTTTACAGCATCTTGTTCTCAGGATATGCTTGTCGCTATACAAATTAAAATTAGGACGTCAGTGTGTATCGTGCGTTTCCCCGTGGAATTAATCAAATCTATGTGGACAATTTGAGACTCGTCCACTTTTTAATTTGATAAGTCTAGATAATAGCTCTGATTGTTATTTCATGCAAATAAATCTATTATGATTAAATCATACGTATCGATTGTATATCATTTAAGGTATTGTCATTTTATTTTCAAATTTTAAGTATAAATATTATATTCAAGGATCTGATTTAGATCTGATTTTATATATTTATCGATGATATTAAAATAAATATTAAATACATATAACAGGTTTGGATATGAAAATCAAAATTTGAATCGAGTGATTGAAATATTTAAATCAGGGTAAACAATCTTTTAATATGTATATACGGTGTCCCAATGTCGCGTATTTCTTAGGAATTATAGGCTTATTAGCAAATTTAAAACCGATATTTTTTTGACTAAAATTTTGTTCAAATACATTTGCGTTTTTGCGTATGTATTAAATATTATTGTAAGAGAGCCTCAAAATTAAAGTTTTATTAAAATGAATTATATGTGATATTAAATAAAGATAAAATGTTTCTTATTTCCAGAGTTTTTGTGATTTTAATCTTCCATGCAATATAAACTCAATTGCATTATCACTAAACATTCTATAAAACTCTTTTTTAAAAAACAATCTCTTTAAATGCATTGTGGATATCAATATGTTATTTATAAGCTTAATGGCACATGGTTTAATTAATTAGAATAACTACCCAGTAAACAAAATTTAGCAATATTGACAAATTGATTAAATTTGCTGTCACTCTGACAACGTCGATAATATTTGACTATCTAAATAGCAAGTTACAAAACTAAGCAAAAAATAATTGATAATATAAAAAGACAAAATTTTTTTCACATTAAATGCTTATATTTCATTCGTTTCAACCTTTGTATCGAATATGAATACAACCCTTTTACCGAATACAACAATAAGGAACATTTTTTTTATAACAGTTCACACAGTTTGTAGTGGATCTCTATCAGCTTGAGATACACACACTTTTACAGAGTTTTGTAAACTGCGATCTAATATCGAAGCAAATATTTTCAAAAAACCACGTTCTGAATCCGAATGGTTAGTTAATACAACATGAGTCCCGCAATGCACAGCATCTAATATCTCATGATGCAACATTTCTCCCGTTAGATACAAATCTGCAGGAACGCCTTTTAACAGCGATTGGCCCGCTCCGGCACATAGTGCAATAGTATTGATGTAACCGTCTAAAATATAACAATAATCATATAATAGTATATTGTGTATCAAGTGCGGGAAGTTGGCAATTGCCCACGAGTGGGTAGGGAGGGGAGAATGGTCGCACGAGCCGAAGGCGAGTGCGACCATTCCCTCCCTACCCACGAGTTGGCAATTGCCATCCCGCACTTGATACATATGCTATTTTGTAGTACACGTGCGTCGAAAGTAGCCTATTGTAGTATAAGTGCGGGGTAAGTGTAATGATAAGACGCTTTTTACCTTACCAGTTTCTTACATGTGTCACTGCGTGTTGGGCGCAATTGAGATTAGACTTTGGGACAGGGAAGAAGTAATGGCTATTATTTTCTATCGCGCTGCAAGATGGCGTTGCTTTGTAATGAAATAATAAGTGAAGCGTGCGGTAATAAAGCGGAAGCGTGCGGTAATAAACCGGAAGTGTGCGGTAATAAGTTTGAAGCGTGCGGTAATATGTTGCGTGTGAAATTGGCTACTTTCCGCACGTAAAGCATGCGCGTAATAGGCTACTTTCGACGCACGTGTACTACAAAGTTACTTATATCATTCATTGAACACGATTTCTTTTTACGTTAGTGATTAATTATTTTTATGCAAAACTTACCTGTACCGCGTGCACGTGCTAATCTTACGTGCTTCTAGATTTTGTACGTTTGTCTTAATTAAATTTACTGCTTCGTCAATAGATATCCGGTTCTTTAAAATGCACAATCTTCCTAATCCGTAAGCTTCATTATTCTCATTTGGTTGAATCGGCTTGCTGCTTTCAAGCTCTTAAATGGAAATTTTCATAAATAATGGAATTTTAACATTTTAACGGTCAATGAAGATGCTGTAATGTTAATTCTTACCAAATGCTTCTGCCAACCAATCGTTTACACCACCTTTTACAGAATCGAAACTGCTGTGTGGAGAAAAGACGGCAATTTTGTTTTCTAGACATCTCGCCACTGTTCGTTCCTATTAAAAAAAAAATCAATTAAATTGTAAATATAATTATAAATATAAATAAAATTTTTCGGCGATATTATAAAAATTAATACAACATATCAATACAATTTCAATGTATTACCTTCCAAGTTGAAGTTGTAATAGATTTCAACGGAACAAATATTAGTGGATGATACGTGATTATTAAATCGGTTTTTAATTCAATAGCTTCATCCATAACATCTTCGGTTAAATCATTCGTCAGTAGAATATTCGACACTTTTTTCGGTTCTGTAGGTTCAATCAGTAATCCAACATTGTCCCAGGAAGCAGCAAGTGACGTATCGGCAAATTTGAGTAACGCACTCACGACCTCTTTCAAAGGCATGCCCAGTTTATTTCCTCCGGTGTTACTCATCATGCGTATTGTTTTATGCTGTTTAATGTATTTATATTGCAACAATAAGTTTTCACACGATAATCCTACGTTGTATAAACGTTTCAGCATTTATCTCTAAAACAAAAATGGCTCTAGATAATACATAATTTATTACAGCAAGAGCACGCTGTTGGAAATATAAAATGACAGCGAGTTAATACATTTATATAATAGTCACACAAAACTTGCATTTGTTTTATTAATAAGGATTATATGTGATCAAATTATAAGCTACAAAAATAAAAAATCTTTCATGGATTAAGTAAAAGGTCACACAAGATAAATAATATATTATATTCGCTATTTAATGTAAAATTAAGAAAAATAATGATCCCAAAATTTTTATTAGAAAATAATTAACTCCTACTTTTGTAAACAATAATACTATTTACTATTTAACAATTTGCGAACACTATATCTAATCTGAGGTATAAGTTGTATGAAATAAAATAGAATTATGTTGTGTATATATATGTAATTTTTACATTATATAAAACAAAATTACATATTATATAAATACATATTTTATGGTTGTAAACCATTTTTCATTCCTTATAAAGCCATATTTTTACTAAACTATCATCACTTGCAGAGGCAAATTGTCCAGGAACCGTAGGACTCCACTGAACACAGTTCACATCTTGGGTGTGCGCGTTATCCATTGAGCAGACCATCGTAAAACTTGGTTGATGAGGATCGCAATCACTGTCTTCCTTAAATATCCGAATAATATCGTCGCCGCATGCAGTCACCAGTAAACCCGTAACTTTGCACCAGTCGATGTCATAAATGGTTCTCGTATGATAACCCGACACTGTACATATACATTTCCAGACAGGCACATTGTTTGGTGTGGCAACACCTGTTTCATTGCCAGGCTTGTATTCCCGCCATATCTTCACTGTTTGATCGTCACTGCAAGTTGCTATACGATTACCAGTTTTATCCCATGAAAGACTCCATACTGTAGATGTGTGAGATGATAGAGTTGCAATGCTGGACCAATCGTTTTTCGCTGCCTCTTCCTTATGTATCTTTACTGTATTATCGTAACTGGCAGAAGCTAGAATGTCTTCATGTGGATGCCATCTCACCTAAAATAAAAGTAAATTTTTTACACACAAGACATTATATAAATTCTCTGTTTGTAAATATCAAAATTAAATTTTGAATAAGTACTAAATATATACTTAAATCATAATAGTTACTTTTTCCAATATTTATATTTTGATAGATAAATTTGCAACATACCTTTTTTACATCTTGAGTATGCTCCATTATAGTACCGTCACACTCGTATTCGTCGTCATTTACCTCCCATACCCACACAGATTTGTCTCGGCCACACGTAGCGAGTAGCTGACCAGAAACTGACCAACTAACACTTTTCACTTCATTGTCATGCCCCTCTAATGTTGTATTGCATTCAAACTGTCCTGATTTTTTGTCCCATACTGCAGTAGTTGCATCAAAACTTGCTGATGCAATATAATTACCGCAAGGAGACCAAGCTAGCTCTCTAATGGTTCTAGAATGTCCCTCGGTAAGGATCATTTTTGTAACCCACTCAAGTCCCTCTAATCTCCATATTACAATTGTTTTGTCTTCGCCACAAGATGCTAAAAGAGCATCTGTAGGATGCCAGCAAACACTCCACACTCTGCCTTTATGACCAGTTAAACTTTGCTTTAGTTCCAATGTACCCATTGCTACCTCAACAGTACAATTCATCTTTCATATAAAACAAGATTTATAAAGAACATTTTGTTAATGAAAAAATTTATTCAAAAAATTAAATCTGCTTCTTCTCAATATGTTAATATCACGAATTTCAATGTGATTTATATATAAAGCATATCTCACATATTGAAAACTATTTGCAAGAAGCAGATAGGCATGGAGTGTTTGCTTATTTGTTATTAAACCATGTAATTATAATTACAGACTAATATCTGCTATTATTAGCTAGTATTATTAAAATAAGATAATCTTTAGAGACTTAAAAATAAATTTTTTTTTTAAATATAAAAAATTAAATGTAAAAATAATTTCTTAAGATGCATTAAAACTAAATAACATATAGTTCTTACACCACAAACATTCACAATGAAAAACTCTTGTTTTATTCACTTTTTTCCAGCTAACCTTTTTCATTTCTGTGTACAACAGTGCATGGGGTTTGTAATAATTATATTTGAATATATGATGTGACCAATAATTATTTTGGTACTCAACTATTCTTTTGTTTTATGTAACAATAAAATACTAAAAAATGGTCAAACTTACCGTTTTGTAATTTTAATGATACTAAAGAGTAAAGTTGATATTATTCCAGCACCAGCTGATAAGTTCTATTTTTACAGTCGTTGATAGTAAGTGAAATATTCATAGAAATGATAATGATTTAGCCACGATTATATCTTGTTGATTCTTCATTTACTGGCAAATGTATGCAGTGTACACTAGCCTCAGTGATAACATTATTAACCTATAAGTGTACACGTTGAATTTTCCAAAACTAAAAAGTAACCATAGCGAGCAATAGAGAGCGTCATCGTCCACTTGCATCAACTTGCGCATGACGGTTGAGATTTAAGCTTCACAATATCAGAACTGTTGGTTACATTACTCTACAACGCTGTAGATAACACTTATGTATTGTGATGTCCCGACAATGGTAAAATTCAAAAAACAGAACATTATTAAAGAGATCTGTACAAGTCCATCTAAAATTCATCCAAAGAGCAAGATTGAAGTTATGATTAGTGTTAACTGTATTATTAGTTATAAAAATATTAATTATACTATAGCTATAAGAATACTGCATAATTGAACAATGCATTGAACAAATAAGTGAAGAGATAAGAATAAAATAAGCAAAGGTTACCAGACACCCCATCTTATCCGTCGGCTATCTTCTATAAACGAAAACGAGCTGCATATCAACTTCCAGCCAAACGATATTCCAACGTATCAAGAAGCCGATGTGACGATTAAAAATCTATGCGATACTCTCGAGGGCCTACTCCCCACCACAAGAAGACCAACGTATACCATCGCTCGTGAGACAGTTCTCTTCCAGCAGACTCACTGTTAGGTCATATTAAATTCTACATACTATTTTTCTCTGCATTGTTCAGTTGAAAACACTGAATTATTTGGTTTATATTTAGCAGTGTTTTATCTGCATTATTAAGACGTATCTATAAGGCTTTGTTTCTAATTAAAATTAGGTAAGCTAATTTAATCTATTTTATTTAATTTTATTCATATCCTTTTCATACGATAGATTGTTACCTCCTGTATCCCTAGTAAACCCGGTGAATGCAGGGTGACTAAAAAATAAGAAGACATTTCAAATTTCGCGCTAATAGTCGATATTACAGAATTCTCTACACACGTCTAGTGACCAGACGTAACAGTATATACGCTACGGTGGTATGTGCTAATTCAATACGTAATTAGTTTCAAACGTTATAATCGAAGCGCGCAATTGCTGTGATACAGTCGCTAAACAGCGCATACTCCAGCCTAAAAAAGGAAGCGGAAAAATTAACGAGATAGCATTTTTTTTATTTTTACGCATCATAAGGTAAACGAATAAAATAAGATACATTAAAAAAAAAAAAAAAGGGGGGGGGAAATGGAAAAAGAAGATTTTGTCGAAGATCGAGTGAATTCGAGAGCTGATTTCGTCTGCTGCCGCGGTGCGGAGCGGATTGCAATCGCGATCGAGCGCGATGGCGATCGACGCGTAGTTGAAACCGGCGGCTGTTAACCATCGCTAAAAATCGCAGGTGAAGTGGGAAATCGCGCGCGGCGTGGAAAGGGGTAGAAAGTGCATCACGGCTCAGTCGTCATCAGTAGTCATCTTGTGTTTACGGTGTATTAAATGCGCGACGAGAGCAAGGAATAAGCGAGCTGTCGCGAAGTGTGGCGAGGCGGCGTGGTGAGGCGGCGACGAGGACGACGGTAGCGGTATTGGCGGCGGTGAGGTGTAGTGAAGTGAGGATCACGACGCGGCGTCGACGACCTGCCAGAGGACACGACGACACCTGCTCGACGACGAGAGACGTGCGTACGTACGTACGTACGTGAGAACGAGCGTGTGGCGACGGCCATACTCAAACAACGGCCGAGCGGAGCAACGTGCGGCGCGAGAGATGAAGTGATAATAGAGTCGAGCAGGGAGAAAGAGAGCCGATCTCTCCGCGAGCCGCTTGCAGCAGGCGCGCGCGAAACTGCAAGACGTGTGAGCGGACAAGACGAAACGGGACGAGCTGAATCGAATCGAGTCACAGTTGCAGTCGGCGCGAGCGTGCCACGATATATCGGTGCGCGAGAGCGAGCCAGCAGCACAGCAGCAGCAGCAGCATCAAGCAGCAGCAGCAGCGGCGACGAGAGAATACGAGAAGGAGCGGCCGGAACGGGCGGAAGTGTGGGCCGTGTGTGTCTGCGTACGTGCGGGAGATTCGTAGGAAAGGAGGTAGCAGACAGAAGCGGGACTCAAAGAGTCGCAGCTCAGCGCGGGGCTTCAGTTATTCGCTGAGATGAGCACCAAGACAGATGTGAACAGGCGGGTATTGGCCATCCAAGCGAAGAAGAAGCGACACAAGCCCAGCAAGCGCAAGGGCAAGGCCAATTCCCAAAGCGAGCAGGACGCGCAGACCTCCAAGGGCCAACGCAGCGGTCAGGTGGCGGCCGCCGCCAACACCTTCGAGTACTCGGACGCCTCACTGCGCAACTACACCACTGACAACGGGACCAGGTAAACCCGATATCCAATTAGAGCAGCCGGCACACGAAGATGCGTCCAGACTTGTAATTTTAACATACCGCGTATCATGTATCGCCGTAAAACGAACGATGACATGCCCGAACCGTACGTATACTCGCATATCTCGTCAGTCGTCATTGCGCGTCCCGTCATAATTACGCGTGCGGTAACGTGTTACAAACAACCAAACACATGTTAACTCCAGATGACAGTTTGTCCTCGAATCGGCTCGTTAAAAGTCACATCTTACTTCGGATTTGTATTTTTATTTTTTTTCCTTACTATCGTTTCTACGTTAACAAATTTTAATAAATGGGTGACACATATGTGCATAAGAGCTGGAATAATTATGAATAATAACGATTTATTTATGACGTAAGATATAATTATAAATATTGAACAGTGATCTCTCCAGAGATCATAAATAATAATATATACAATTATTCGTAATTTCTGGCGATATATGTATAAAATTATGTGACATTTTACATGAAATTTGTTTAATTATTCATAAACTTCAGTGATCATATTATTACTTTTGAATTAATTAAAATCCTGATAATTGACAGTTGCACATATTAAACATCGTTCGCGCAAAATAATGAACATGTAATGAAGCTATTAATTGTATACATTAAATCTTGTTTTACTTTACAACTTCTCAATTTTCTAGTATTGGAAAGAGTTAACTCCGAGCACTGTGTCGGCCGTAATTTATTATCTGTTTTACGATTCATACATCTGTCGTAGATTGGTACCGTGTCATAGTTCCAGCAATGAAACAATAGAGGACGACGATGAGGTGTTCAGTAGCGAGGACGAGGAACAGGAGGACAGCAGTGACTATTGTAAAGGCGGATACCACCCTGTGAAGATAGGAGATCTCTTTTTAAATCGTTATCATGTCACGCGTAAGCTTGGTTGGGGTCACTTCTCCACTGTATGGCTCTGCTGGGATTTGCAGGTATGTCTTTGATACGATAATGATCCTTTTATTAACACCTACATAAACACGGGATGTTTTGCAACTATTCTGCAGGACAAGCGTTTTGTGGCGCTTAAAGTCGTGAAATCCGCATCCCATTTCACTGAGACTGCATTGGATGAAATTAAATTATTAAAAGATGTGCGCGATACGGATCCCACCGATCCTAAGCGCAATAAGACCGTCCAGTTGCTCAATGACTTCAAGATCAGCGGCATTAATGGCCTGCATGTTTGCATGGTATTCGAAGTACTCGGACATAATCTTCTTAAATTGATTATCAAGTCAAACTACAGAGGAATTCCAAGAAATAATGTTAAACGCATCATCAGACAAGTCCTTGAAGGTCTCGACTATCTTCATAATAAATGTAAGACGATTGTTTAAGTCATTGATAGCATCTATGTATGTAGACAGTTTTTATGCAGTAGCTTAATAATATATTATCTTGCCTGAATTAAAAATTGAAAAAAAAACATACTACAACCGCAATAATTGTGATTTCAATAAACTTATCACTATATGCTAATTCCGTTTTCCAGGTAAAATTATTCATACAGACATTAAACCTGAAAATGTTCTCGTATGCGTCGATGAAGCTTACATACGAAAGTTAGCTTGCGAAGCGACGGAACTCCATTCTATGGGAGCAAAATTGCCAGTGTCCCTCATTTCCACCGCACCGAAGGAATTTCAAGAACCCACGCCGAATTCCAAAATGTCCAAGAACAAGAAGAAGAAATTAAAAAAGAAAGCCAAGCGACAAAATGAACTTTTGAAGAAGCAGATGGAACAGATCGAGGAGTTAGAGGAACAAAGTAAACTCGCGAATAGCACGAGAGAGAACGGCGAGGTTGAAACGAATAGCTTAGACCAGGATCTTAATACTGAAAGCATAGAAGACAATACGACGGAAAGCAAAGATTCGCCCGATATCTCGGAACCGTCCGCACCTTCCTTACACATGAACGGAGTGGATGGTTTAACTGGCGGTGAGAAAATACAGAATCTATTACCCGAAGAAGAATCCGAAAAGATGGACAATGTGTGCGATGTGGAAAAAAGTTGTGGCGAGGGTGTACTGCCACCTGATCCCGAAGATACCGACGAATGCAGTGAAGGTACAATAATTGCCTGCGTCAAGCAATATACGTCTGTTTTTGTTGCAATTTCATTCATTGGTTATCTTTTAGGTCGTAGATCGTTAAATCCACCGGAAAGTAAACAATTAAAACGGGCGTCTCTATCGCCCCTGGATCCTGCCATAATGGAGTGTGAGGTCGACGTGAAGATAGCAGATCTCGGAAACGCGTGTTGGGTTCATAAAAAATTCACAGACGACATTCAGACCCGTCAGTACAGGTCGCTTGAGGTTCTGTTAGGTTCTGGATACGACACTTCCGCCGATATATGGTCCACTGCTTGCATGGCATTCGAACTGGCGACTGGTGACTATCTTTTCGAACCACACAGTGGCAAAGATTACTGCAGGTAATAATTGCGAGATTCAATACCATTCGATTGCAGCCGTATGAACTTTGTATAAATTGTTTTCTCATAACATTTGATTTGATATATGAAATCTATTAATATTTCAGAGATGAAGATCATTTAGCTCATATTATCGAGTTGCTAGGAGAAATACCGAAACGTATCGCACTTTCGGGGAAGAACTCAAAAATATACTTCAACAAAAAGGGTGAATTGAAGCATATTACCGGATTAAAACCGTGGGGCTTGTACGAAGTGTTGACGGAGAAGTATGACTGGACACCAAGCGAAGCGCGCGAGTTCGCAGAGTTCCTAACACCGATGCTCGAATTCAATCCGAGCATGCGAGCTACCGCAGCCGAGTGCCTCAAGCATCCATGGCTGCAAATCAAAAAGTGATCGCGTTTTTTATTGTTTTATCTGTAATATTCCCTCAACTCCCGATCCTACCGCCCAGTTGTCGCAAATCGTAAATCGAGAGTGTGATAGGAAGCCGAAAACACTTGCAGACACATCAGGTGTTATTTCCGTACTGAAAAATCGTAATTCCGCGACCCAATTTGCGTGCAAAGAGCAAGTGCATCGATTCAAGAACGCACACACACACACACCCTAGAAAACTGTTTGTAATAAGAATTACGGGAACGAATTGTAACATATGTTGTTATATTAATCCTATGTACGCTACAAGCGTGTCTCTGCGTGAGGAATGTTACGAAACCGAAAATGTTTCGAGAAGATTGTTATATACCCTTTACAAATGGTGATTTGACAATATCGCGGAAATCGCCTCAAGGAAAACCTCTCGAACGCAACGAGCGAAGTGTCGCAAAATCCGAAAATCGTTAGAGAAGATCTTGCAATATTCCGCTGATTTCCATATATAAACGGCCGCGCGCGTGCTTCCTAATGCAACACTCTCAACACATCGGCTGACCATTCGTGTAGTTGTACACTTGTTGAATCGTATTTTTGATTAGTGATGAAAGAACTTAAATTAAAAAAAAAAATTTCATAGTACTTTATATATATACATATTACTTTACACATTCATGTCGCATTCTTCGTACTCGTCATTTTATTTATCTACGAATATTCCAAGAGTCGTGGGACCTACTCGTTAATGCGCTGTGAAGGTACTGGCAGGCTCAGTAACGTGGTTTGGTTTAAAATTAGGACTTATTGCCTTGACTCAGTTATCCCTATGTACTTTTATATATCGCGCACCACACACCGGTCGCTGCAAATTCTTGCCAACAAACTTGTCGAGAAATCGCAACGGGACAGAAGTGGCTACTTAATTAATATTTTACGTCTACCTCAATATACGTGAGCCGGTCAGAAATACTCATGAATAAATATGCGCGTATAACGAGGGACCGCATTCACGTGTAAATTGAAATAAATGAATTTGTATATTGTAGATAATATTAAGAGTCGGTCACACTAGATTCTTGGTATATGTGATGTTAATATGGGCGCTAATTGGAATAAAACAGCATGTATAACATATTTTTCGAGTCATTTGGTTAGTATAAAATTTAATATTGGAAAATATTGCTTTCATTTTTTATCGGCAGTAATAAGATGGGTAAATTTTATTATTAACAAGCAACGATAAGACTGTAAATGTATAGTATATGTATAATGATTTATTATTTTTTTAAATTCTATATTTTAAATATATATATATATATATATATATATATAATTATTGCTTATGTGTGTATATATATACACACACATAGCAATAAGAATTAACATCACTGTAAAATGCATATAAAGTACGATTTACATATTTAAAAAAATGTTATGCAATCTGTCTTGTTCCGTTGCGCCCTGCAAAACTGATATAGTAATGAATTCTGTTCATTGTAAATTTGTTTACATTGCTAATGCGAACACCATATACATAATGTACAATTACAAAAAGAGAGTATCTATATCGTATGACGAATCGTAACACGAGTAACATTGAGTTTCGTGCGAACCTCTTTACTTCACGAATACTGACTGATTACTGAGCTCTCTGCCGATAATAACTGTCTTCTATTTTATAAACGAAAAAGCCAAGCAATGCGTTCCACTTGGATTCTGTGCATCGCGGACTACTGTTTCATATCTCGACAAATTCAACTCATGCTTCCGACAGAATATTCTGTTTCGCTTCGCCTATCAGTTTAAGGTCGTTTCGTAAAAAATTCTCGATCGAACTGTGTATGGAGATGTGTGCGTACGTGGAAAAAATCGTCACGATGTATAAATATTTTATTACTTAGTGCGGTTACATCTTCCCGGGTAAAAGAGGAAAATACTCTCATAAAAATACACATTGTTATGCTCTATTTTTAACGTGTATCATGCATTTTTTATTTATTTTATTTTTGACCATTTTTAAATAGCAATGTTTTGTTTGATTTACGCATATACATACTTCAACATGTACAAGGCGCAATTCTTAATTTATTAAAACTCGACGTGCACTCTTATGGAATATGTTTGCTGGTTTTTATTATATTCTCAAATGCTGTTCAGGCATCACTTTAGTTTAGAAACAAGATTATTTTTTTTTTCTTTTTTGCTATTGGAAAGGTAAAAAAGCAGGTCTGATATCTCCTTATAATGTACGGGAAACAAGCAACACGGCGTGCGATATGCGAGAGATTTTGACGAGAAAGTGCCTCTTCTACCCGCGCTACGGTTAATATCGTTCGCGTTATCTATCTCCGGCGTTTCCCCTGCAATTGCATGTCTCTTTCGTGAATCTCATATGGTCTCCGATGACGGCGAATCTGTACAGTACATAACATGAAATTTTAGCGAATACAATATCGTTTTATAAAACACGGCCAGTGAAATCCGTTGTTATACGAAGAAGGGCAGCGATCACGATGCGATTTAATAGTCAATTTTTCCGTTAGCCTTGCTTGTTACTCGTCAAAGAAGGTGCTTCGAATCAAACCAAAATCGAGCTTTTGCTCGGCCTCGCTCGACTCTTCAGCCGCAAATGTCACTCATCAGATTTCGAAATTCATATAGTCTCCTAAAAAAAAAAAAAAATAAATTATAGATAGATATTCTGAGGATCTGTGTCGTTAAGAATCGAACCAAACGATTAAAGGAAGACAAGAATTGAAACCGATGTAATTTCAGTGAGTTCAAATTTTGGACTATTGGCACACGAAGAGAACTTTATAGCTATAAATAAAATGACTAAACTGATATTTAAGGCTCCCGTTTCCGCATTTCAACCGATTACATTTTGACGTCTAAAACGAGAAAATTTGTTTCTGAACTTCTTTTCCTTGAATTAAAAAACAAAATATATTGATTTTTTCGCATAACATCAATGTTTGTTAATGTAGATTAAAGACGTCTATAATAAGAAAGAAAGATCCGTATCATTTTTTAAATATTTCATTACATTGAAAATCAAAGCAGGAGCTTGTGTGAATATTGTCATAAATAATCGGGATAATTTTTGCACCAGTGAAATTATATTGAATTCAATGGAGTTATATATACCGGTTTCTATCTTTTCGAATAAAGATTAAAAAGACTTATCGCGATTAAAGCACGTAAAAAGAGTCGTTTTTGATACGACGTAATATAAAGATTATCATTAACGCAGATCAGATCGATTGACTAGAAAAGACTTTATTAGACGACGACGAGTCAGCGTAGGCATCGAAATCGTGCCGATTTTGTCGTTAGATCAATTGAAGCTCAATACCGTGTTGCACTGACCATATATAGATAACGTTATCATATTAATATATTATATGTATCATACATATATATATTAATATCTCTAGTGCTCTATACATAAATATATATATATATATAAACATATAAATATATTGAAACCATAAACTTATGTAGGTGTGACTCGCTGCTTGGCGTTAGGATATAGTTAGGAGAAAATTAACAAACGATAACAGTAAATTGTGTATAGCTCTTGATGTACGTGATATCCCCCCCCCCCTTCC